CTGTTGGGTTGGATATGCTTCTTTCATCAGTTTTGTTCTTCCACTTCCTCCTTGATGCTTTTTATTATCACATTTCCAGTTATAATATCATCGTTCTTATTAATAAAATGAATCAACCATTAACGAATAATCGGACAGACGTCTCGCATGAATTGAAGTTCGAGGTCCTACTGTGTATTCAATATTTCCTTAAATCTTTACAAGATTTCGATTCCTGAAAAATAATTTTAAAAAGATCATCAGGTAAAGTATGATATTTTTTTTTTTAATAATCCCGGTGATTTTTAATGCTTCGTTAATTTGAAAATATTCCTTTCGTTCCTGACGAGACGAAGCCGCAGCGGATGCAACCAAAGATGAAGAGATCGAGGGAAGAAACGTTATTTGTTTATTCGCCGTTTCTGCTGCCGTCCTTCGAGCTTCGTTCCATCTTGAAATATTAGGAAACAAATCACTGTGGATCTGACGGGCAGGAGGAACCGGTGGATTAGCGTATTCAAAGCTCCAAGTACTCCTTGGTTGTCGTATCTCAGGCATCCCCGGCATGTTCTTCGAAAACAGCCAGAATTGTCTTCGTCGCGTTAATCCTCCGCCCCTATTTTCCGTCCCTTAAATCATCCCGATCGTATAAGTGAAGAAAAACATTTACTGAAGTTGCGGCAGATGGTAAAAATAATTTTCGTCTGGAAGGAAGTAAATACATTCTCATCTTTTTCTATTTAACACTGTAGCTTTTTATAATTTGTAATTTTCAGTTTTATCAAGGAACGCAATTTAAGTTCTAATTTAGTATCTGTTGGAATGTCAATACTGAGTTGTATAACTGTTTCCTAAATAATGTTTATAAAATAACATATGAATCTTTTTGTTTGAAAATTTTCACTTAATTTTCAGTGACATATTTTAAAATGAAAATATTGTATTAAAAGAATTATGAATAGTAATTTCTTTATATATATCTCGGTGATAAAGGATCCTTCGGTGATCAGGAAAAAGGATTTTTTCCTATGTTTTATTTACAGGATCGGGCAACCGCAGAAGCCTTCCCTCTTCATTGGCGAAACTGCCCCGCAAGCGCAGACGGTCTTGTTTGCAGATCGTTTCATTTTACTACCCAGTATCCGCTTGAATCTAAACAATCGTTCCTTATTGACAAAATTGGCGGGCGTCTGCGGGTTAGCCAGTTTCGTCGGATTTGTTGCTTCTGCGACGTTTTACGAGTGTGGGAAAATTCACAGCGCGAAGACCAGAACCACATCGTTTCGGTAAACCGTTCCGTCTTGGTGCCCCAGCTAAATCGCAAGAAATAAACGAATCGCTCGTCGTGACGGCGAATTTTCTCGGAAATAGCGAGCACCGCCATTTAAGTGTCGTTGCATCAGATGCTGAAAGTGCGATAACACGATCGAAAGATTTGGTGATCGAACATTTTTTTTCTTTTCTTGGTTTAAATGGTTTGTCCATGATTAATTGTATTAAAGGTTGTTGTCGACTTGAGTTTCAACTGGAATAGTAAGGTGAGCGACGAAACTGCTTTTTAAAATTATTTATTTTCTTCTAATTTCCATTCACCGCATCTTGTCCGTTTCATGCGCTTGACTTTTTTAAAACGACTCTCTTGTTAGCTGGTAAACTTATTTAGTATCCACGCCATTGCTGCTGGATTATCCTTTGGTACCTTTACGACGAAATGAGTCTTAAATAACACGACTTTTAAATCAAATATTAAATAATTGCATCCATATAGAATATTCAGTTACGAAGGATGTTTCATGATATGTGAGGCCAATTTCAAAAGAAACGATTGTAATGACAGATTGTAAAGCATCGTTCGCGGTTAAACAAATTATTTACCATGTGTCCGGCTCTGTTGACCCAATACATAAAGAAATTGCCATAAGATTTTACGTAGCCTTCAATGGTGTCTTTCACTACTAAGGCAGTTCTGGCAGAGCGGTGCCAGGGATTGGCGTTTTTCCATTGCATCTTCTCAACCCAGCGTAGAGTTCCTGCATCGCGTTATACTTTATGTAGTTTGTCAGAAGATTATAGTTCCCCGAAAGCAATGTAAAATGATCGAAAAACAAGTTTCATAGCATTTCTTATAAACAGTTAAAAAAAAAAAAAAAA